TGTGATGGCTGGCGCGGGAGGTGTACCAAAGGGGAGCGTCGAGGACGTTGCTCAAAAGAAGAGAGAGGCAGTGTAATACTTTGTTTATGTGACCACATGATGTTTGGCGATAGCTTTAGGATTTGTCAGGCCCTTGTACACGTGAGCTGGGGATTGGATCATGCTCAGGCCAATAAGCCCTGTCATTTGCAGAATACATGTTTTCAGCTGCATTTATTGACTTCTAATACTGGCTAAGCAGTTTTGGGCTGCTACAACGCAAACAAACTCTATCGTATTTGCAAAATTTTTCCTAATCGAATGTCTCAGAATGCATTGTATCACTGTCTTCTACCCTGAGTTTAGATTTCCCAGGAAGACTTTGCTTGTCAAAATTTAACATATGAACCATTAAGCCATTTTATCTCCGTGTTTTCTTTATCATATTTTCATGTGGACTTCATCCCCCTGCACCCATAGGTCCAATTTTTTACTTTTCCTTGAGCACCTGCGTTTAGCCAGCGTGACTTGCATTTAAAACTGCTACTAAATCTCGGTCACTTTTACTTTTTTGAGGCTTTCAGTTATGCATTATGTTTGAAATCCTTTTTGGTTCTACTTTCACAGCAACCCTCACTACTACTCCTTGAGGCTTGAAGAATTAGTTACTAAAACACCGGTTTTGCAAGCGCAAAAAACAAATAAGCAGCGTTAAATTTTTTTCTTGGCAAAATTGTCTTTTTCATTATTCGTTACGCACGTACTTTGCATCGCCTGACAATTAAGCACAATTTTGATTAAGGTACTCAACGAATCATAAGTTGACATTTGATTTTTACGGTTGGTGAAGGAGCCGTGTGCACTAAAGTCACGGACTTGTTTTGGTCGTCGATAATGAACGGTGTGTCTCCTATTCCTATGGAAGGTAAGTTGTCTTGCTTCTAGGTTCTCAAAGCGTATCCGCTTGATCTGCACTGGTCCAGTGGAGTTTTCAGGTTTGGTCAACCTCTTTAGAACATCCATTCAGTGGCGCTTTTCACCACGTTTTGCATTAGTGCAACTCTTTGATGCTGCTCCGCAATCCGCTTTGAGTTTTTCTTCAAGTTTTGTGCTACTATGCTGTTGTAGGATATACTTGCTAATTTGTGATCGAATATTTTTATGTCATGGATAGACTAGTAACAGTCTGCTGTCGAGGGACCAAAATCCAATTGAAATAAATCATCAGGTCTTGTTCTCCTGTTGGGTGTCGATTAAATGCTTTCCTTTTTTACAGAAGACCTGCCGAAATCGGATCTCTCGTGGAGTTACGATGACATCAAGGTTAATTGCGTTGATCCTAATGTTGAAGGTGGGTTATCGGGATGCATGACAAACAAATAGGTGACCATATTTCTTGCGTGCAATTCGATGGCAGTGGAAACTTTCTGGCAGTTGGCGACAGGGGTGGAAAAATAAATGTGTTTAGGACAATTATACAGGTATTTCTCTCCAATTCGGTTGTTGCAGCAGCTGCTGTTGCAATTTTTTCGATTGAATGTCTTGGCTTAATTCTTTGTGCACTAATCTCCTTTAGGTTTTCTTGTGGCTTAGATAGGTATATACGATTGTCTCCATCACCTTGTTTGAACTTGAGTCTCATACTAGGATGGATATTACGCAGTTTAAGTTGTCATACGTGCAGTTTTGTTTGGATTTGTCGATTTTTAGACCCAGAAGCATGAAATCCCTCGCTACGAACTCTACTGTAGCTTTACTAGCCATGAATCAGAATTCGATTATCTTAAGTCCCTTGAAATCGAAGAGAAGATCAATAAGATACGCTGGTTACCCCAACAAAACTCATCGAGGCACTTGCTTTCTACTAACGGTGAGTTTTTTCCTCGGTTTCGATCATATTTTCATTTTACTTGGGTTTTGGGAGGTATGATCATCCAGCCTCATTTTGCTAGTTGATAATTATGGCTTCAAACTCAAGTCCGCCTTCCAGTCACGTTTCGTTGCCTATATTTCACTATTGTTCAATATTTGCGCCAATTTTGCACCGCAGCCACGAAGCTGCACTTCTTCAAATCCTTTTGTCGCCGGCTTTTTTGTTCTGGTTTTGGTAATTCTGCAGCAGTGGTGGCCTTGCATGTGTTATATCGCGTGACCCCAACTCTTCTATAATGGCAATATTTCTTTATCGAGACATAAAATTCTCTTCTCATTCTCATAATGAACGATATTAGTTATGTTTAAATATCCTGAGCCAATATAATACTTCACTCATTTTCATGATCCCTCTGCAGCGTTACTTCTAGCGCTTAACCTTGGAACCTCTCTGTGATGGAGTGTCACTACACCCTTTTTGATTGGTGCCTGTATTTGAGTCGTCCTGAATCTATTCTGTCCTCAGGTAGTGTTCATTTTTCCCCCGTTAGTAGCCTCATGATTTACCGTTTGATTTTTGTTTTACTCCAACTCAACGCAGTGATTTGGCTAGTCACGTTTGTACTAGTCGGTATTTGACATTGTATAAACTCATCTATTGGTAGATGTATTTAAGCATTGAAAATGCTGTTTTTCCCATCAACAGGGCCAATTTTGTCCATTGATTACGTCTGCTTTTGTAGCACAGCCATTCTTTGATCTATTAGAACTGGTGGACAGTCAGACAAAAACAGTACGACATTGTTATTGGTATTATCCTTGTTTTCAATTCGGCAGATTCCGAGTTGCATGATCCATTGACATGCTCATTTGCATAACTAGGTTACAAACAGCAGAACGGCTATGCGTAAAAGTAGCCTAAAATGGGTTTAAGCTTCTCTATCAGCGTCTTTTTTTCTGTATGCACGTGCGCAGACAAGACTATCAAGTTGTGGCGACTCTCGGAGCGCCTAAAGCAGGTGACTGGGTATACTATACGGCGGTCAACAGTACCTCCTCCCTTGGAAGTCAGTATTGGTGAAGTGGAGGAGAGGGTAGGGAGCGATGAGGCGAGTGTAAGAGGAGCGCCGAGAGATCTCAACGGAAGTACTAGCGCTGGGGTACACAGCGCTGGCGATTTGCGAGTGCCACGGTACGAGCGCCGTGCGGACCTCTTCGTCATCGCGCAGCCTCGACGTGTCTTTGCTAATGCGCACGCCTATCATATCAACTCTATCTCCGTTAACTCTGACCAAGAGACCTTCCTCTCCGCTGACGACCTGCGCATTAATTTGTGGAACCTCAGCGTCACCAACCAGTCTTTCAGTAAGTCTGTGGTATTACGTTCATCAAAGTGCTACCGTCCCTGGGATTATTTTTTGTAAATGCAAAATTTTAGTGCCCGCTCGCTTTTAGTTTCTGCGATCTCTGCTCATTTCAAACTAACTTGGAAGTCCTGGTAATTTTTTTTCATTTAATAACGATGGAAGGTGGTAACTGGTGAAGCAAGAAGTCGAAGTGTTATAGCTTATGCTCGAAAACAGTATCAATTGCTGTCTTATTTGAATCTCACCGGTGAATCTTTGAAAAGTTTGAATTTAGACTCTGTCATCACTAAATATTATGTGAATACATGTGCTCATGCATGCCAACTGAAAGGCTATAAACGGAATAAATACTAATGAAGTCACTCCAAATGCTTATTTTTAACCAAAATATTGTTTCGCGTTTTGATCTGAATAATACAATTGAGCGTTTGAATTGTCTTTGATGAAAATATTTCCGGATTTGCGCAGTGGATTCTAATCGTTTCTGAGTACATTTCGTATCATAAAATTTTCATTTAATGTCTAAGGATTGTATGGTCTTTTGATTTTCAAACTGCATTTTTTGCCCATCAACTAAGTTGTCTGATTATTCTTTTTCCTTTGTGTAGATATAGTTGATATAAAGCCGGTGAATATGGAAGAGTTGAGTGAGGTAATTACAGCGGCCGAATTCCATCCGACCGATTGTTCCCTTTTTATGTACAGTAGCAGCAAGGGAATCCTTCGGCTCTGTGATATGCGACAGCAGGCCCTTTGTGACAGGTCTGCTCTCAGTGAGTTATGATACTGTCATTATTTTTCTCATTTCGAACCAAATGCCTTTGTTTGCGCTTCCTCAATCAAATCTGTGGAACGTGACCGTGTGGTTAATCAAAAATTAGAATTTTTCTCTTGTAATTGGGATATTTTTGCTGTCTAAATTTTTTGAACAGAATATCGCTGACCGTGCAATTTATTCATAGATTTGCGCCTAGTCTTCAATATCATTTGCAAAGCACTGGATCATACCAGTCTTTTTAAGTCGCTATTTCATCTGCCTCTATGTCTTTGACTTTAACATTTCTCCTCTTCAGCATTTCAAGAACCGGATATTCCTGAAAATCGCGGTTTCTTCTCTGAAATCGTAAACAGTGTCACGGACTTGAAATTTAGCAATTCTAGTCGTTATGTCCTCAGCAGGGACTATTTAACCCTCAAAGGTGAGCGTTTTAATCACAATTGCCGTTTTCGGCGCCTATGTGCGTTTTTTGTTGAGTTCACGTGCGGCTGCAACTCTCCCAATACGGTATTACCAATTGTAGAACTGGATTGAAGGTTTGCTTGCTCGAGGTGTGACTTAATGTGCCTACCTTTCTGTGAGCTTAGACAATGGGCTTCAAACTTCATATCATCTTAACTCTGTATTCTGTTACGCTACATACTAGAACAGCAACTTATGTCTATCCAAATGCTTGTATTGCCACCCTTTTTGGAAATTTTAGTGTGGGATATGAACATGGCAACTGGCCCAGTGGAGGTTTACCACGTGCACGATTACTTCAGAAGCAAATTTGTCGCTCTTTATGAAAACGACTGCATCTTTGATAAATTCGAGTGCGCATGGTCTCCGAATAATAAGTACGTTAATCTTGTAAAGTGGGAATTTCACTTACCATGTTGTTTGTCAAAGGATGTAAACTAAAGCTGGGGGTTAGTATTGCTAGCCTTTTCTCTATTTGAGTAAAAGAGGAAAACAATTGCATTTCTGTGATTTTTAGTAAATGTGTCGGCTTCCAACTTTGTTCGTGGGTAAATACTCCTGTCGTAGGTGGTAGTATTTACGCTTAAGAGTTTTTGGGTTTTGCTGCTAACTAAGCAGAGTGTATTAAGTCGTCCTCCTTCATGAAATCACGGCTATGCCCTTGGCGGTGGTGCTGTCTTGGGTAATCCACTTGATTTTGCATTTTGTGCCGCATCAAATTGTCCACATCCACCTATTGAAAAGTCCAAAGGGCAGTTTTCCGCTGCTATTTGCGGTACTATTGTTTGATTGCGTCCATTTGACACAAATTCTTATTAAGTGCTTTTGTACCTGACGTTATTAAATAGGAAATGTATCACTCCTAGGGTCATTTGGACGAGAATCATCGATGCGAACCGCATTTTTTGTATTAATTAATGTGCAAATTGATCGTGGCAGTTATTTCAGTTAATCTCACTATTCCATTTTAGCTACCTCCTGACAGGATCCTACAATAACCTATTTCGGGTGTTTGATCGATCGTCGGGTAGGGGCGTTTTGACGGAGACGGAGGCAAATGCTAATGGGATCCCCTCGAAGGGACCTCTGCGAACCCGAGAGGTCACCTGTGACCCAGTGGCAATTACCTCCGACCAGATTAGCGTCGATTCGATCGATTTCACCAAGAAACTGCTTTACCTAGCCTGGCATCCCAGTACGTCCCGGGTAGCTTTGGCCAGCAATGAAACTCTCTTTCTGGTCTCTGCGCTGCAAGAACAGCAATATCTGCAGTCAGATTCGAGATGAGGCAGTAGCACGAAAAGGCACATATTTTGTTTATCGAGATTCGCCTATTTGTACACTAGCATCCCCCACGCCTTCCCCCCCTCTCTTCCGCCTCTCTTCCATACTTTGTCTCTGCATATAATTGCATGTGCTTGGACATTCCAGTTGTGCGGTTGCCGTCTTGCTCAAATGCCGTCGTGGTAACTGTGCTGTCTTTACACTTCACCCTTTACCCTTCCTCTGCCTCATTCTTTATATATGCGCATGGTTTTAAGTACTACCGTAATACGTACCTCAAGTAAAGACGTTGGCACGAAGAAATCGTTGCTTTTGTGTATTTGGAGAAGAGCACTCGAAATCATTTGGACAATGCCTTTTCTATTAGTCTCATCTCGTTTTACGCTTCCGAATAATAAATAGTTACGCCAAACCGTTTTTTGCAGGCGGATTAACTTTCTGAGACGGTGTGGTTTGCCCTCGGTGTGAGGGTATATTTTTTGGCTTCTTTGACAGGATGACTAAGCGGTATATTCTAGTCATGGGGACCGATTCTTATCCAGGATTTTGCAATTGTAATTGTAATTTGTAATTGTCTTCTATCAAAGGACCGAACTAACGTTGGCTTAAACAACACATTTGTAAACCCGTAGTTGGTTTTGTTTTGATGCCTTTTTCTAACATAATTACGAGTACCAGTTGAAACAGAAGGATTTAGGATTGCTGGTATGTTCTGGGATTCGAGTTGTTCAGCAAAGGCACATTGTCAGCGACTCTAAGTGCTTCTGTCGCCAGAGTCAACAGTAAAACCATTAACGCATTACATCACCTTTCTCTCCCCTTAACGATTACAGCGCAGTCAGTACTGGAAGAAGGCGCATTAGTACCAATTCTGCTGTTGGTTGAGGTTCTGCGCCACCGTTGTGCTGCTAAGCTACAACGTTACTGTTCACTTTCATCGACAGTCTCGCCCTGTATGAAAATTAAATTCGACGACGGGAAATGTGTTGGCCATTAACGGATGTCCGTAGCCTGCTGTTGAGAGCCCAGATGTTATAGGGGTAGGATTCGTGTTCCGTTCCTTCATTTCATAGCCGAGGTAGTTGTGGAAGGCGGACGTCATTTTAAGCTCTTTAATTATGGACCACCGTAGATCAGCCCATCTGTGGCCTATTCCCTTTTTCGTCCTGCCAAGATTTATCAGTAGAAGCTGCTTCAGCCAAATCAGCTTTCGGCTATCGTCAGTTTAGCAACTTTTACCTCCCTCAGGCTATAAAGACAATGCTCGAGATGAATATGCATACTCGAAGCAGAATAGGACTTGCGGCAACTGGCATGAACAGGTGATCAGTTTACTTGGCAAAGGTGCATTGGCGAAGACACACGCTGTCCCCTCTCGCAAGACAGTTAAATAGCTAGCGCACTACACATCTTTCGATTTTCACTGTACAGTTTAAAAGGTAATTTAGGTTTTATTTTAGAGCAAAAGCAATCACATCCTTACTAATTTTACCGATGCCAATGGAATCGTTGGTAAACTCAGGGTAGTGGAAACGATAACATCGGATGGCAACTAATCAATATCAGGCTTAACACATTATGGATTAAAATTTATTAAATTGTTACATAATTCTGATGTGCATTCAACGAAGACGGTAGTAAGACATGTCCAACAGGACAACCAGTACAGCAGTGAAGTGGATGGTACTTCTAACGGGTCAGAAGCGAACGAGAGATCGCGTAGTTACATAAATCTAATGACCTAAGTTTATGCTTTCACGCCCGTTTGACATGTACCATAATCAAAAAAGGACATATCAGTGGGTTTAGAAGCAATGTAAATACGCAATTAGGCAAAAAACGAAAATCGTACAATCCTACGTCTTCTGCTTTCATAAGGCTAGCACTAATAAAAAGTTAACAAAAGCTGTTGAGCATATTGCGTTAAGGAAAACCTAATTAATCTTTAGCTTTAACCCAAACGCTCTGAGTGAAAGAGTTTGTTTTGGAAGTGTAATTTGTCGGTGTTGCAAAAAGCGCACCTAACTAGCGGCATTGCTGTAACTTTTAATGAGTGCTACCACAGGAAGAGGACTGTGGACTTCCCATTAAGACAATTGTAGACGATTTCATAACCCTGACAATGTAAAGGTCTGTGAGACCTAAACAAAAGTATAAACTTTTAACAGTGATTGTAGGACTCTATACTTGATTTATGGTGCTTTGGTGGGCGCATCGAAACAATTTCTTTGCATTCTGCACAATGCGGAACTTATTCGGGCATGTCGATTTGCACCTCCGATGACAACTTTTTTGGATCCCCCTTTTACTGTACCTTCTTGTATCTTTCTGAAGGTGTCCAAGTGCTACGATCTGATGAATGGTGATGCTTTTGGACTTGACTACCATACGTTCGAAGTTGCATTAGGATTGTACGGTTCCAATGTTTCCATCGCAAACACTGTTTGAGTCTTTTGACACGCTTCATTGCGAATTGCCGCAAAATGCTTAATTGTTGGATGCATTAGCATGTTTTTAAAAAAAATCCGCCTTTGCTTGCATAAAAGTCATACCATGAAAATCTCCGACGTCCTAATAGTTTGCAAAGGGTGGTCGTGTATTAGGCCAGTAAGTTACTTAAATACGCATTGTTGGGGACAAGTTCATGAAAGCTGTTCTTTCTAGTGTACTCTTGTGGGGAAAGAAAATTATCACAGCAGTTGCATTAGTCGTGTCAAGTGACTCAGCTACGATCGAGAGTGAGACTTCAATGAGAAATATGCGGCGTTTCAAAACTCGCCTAGAGACGAAAGAAGGCATAATGCTCGAAACATATACGTTTGATGCACAGAAGAGTTTGCAACTACTGCCATGCTCTGCACTCAGCAGGGATAAAGTGACGCCACAACGAAACGGTCTCTGTACCAAAACAAACGATTGACGTATTACACGTGTGCCTGTGACCAAACGTAGGAATAGGAAACGTGGCTATTCATCTGGTGTTAAAGAAATGGTACTCAACACTGCTGCTCTGATTACCGTCCCAAATTCATTAAATCTCTTTAAATTTTCGAAACTTTTTGCACAGTCTTATTTGTGCAAACTAAGAAACATATTCTTGTTTTATCCCAATTCTCATGTGATTTTGTAATAACATGTTGTCTTGCCCATTCACTGTTATGGGAGATGAAGTGGTTAACTGTCATTACATCCGCTACTACCTCTAAAGTGAGTCAACTTTTGATTTGGCAGCAACTCGTTGTCAAGGTAAAGCTTCAACACCAATGCATAAAGGATAGTGATTGAAAGCTGTTGTGCATCCCCTGAATGACGTGGAAGTCCTGCATGAGACACGAGCAGGTCGTTTGGATGCGTGTGCAGCACCGGGGTTGTCCACTTTCCAGTGAATGCAATTATGTCCGTATTCTTTCTCATCCCACGTAGTTTGTTTCCTCAACTTGTGTCAATAAAAAACAATGACGCTCCTTCGCTTATCTCGACTGCAAACTGCTGCGGCTAGAAGATGACATCGAAAAGCTCCTTCCTTGTGTAAGCTAAAAGTAGGCTTACAAATTCCCAAAGCCGAACAACATTAATTCCTTTGAAGTAATTATAAGTGCAGAAAAATATCTCTAATTTGGCTAAGTAAATAAATAAATGGGCTAAGATGGCAGTGAAACTGTTCGAAATCGATGGCCGGACCTGCAGGCACCGCAACTATTTGCTTATGGTAGTGGAGCTTTGACTTTTGAAGATTTCAGCAAATTACGTATTCTCTCATTTTTGAGTTGCTTCGGATATGTTTTCGCACTCAGCGGCAACCAACCCTCCCAGCTACCCCAATCAAGAGTCAGAACATTACAGAACAGATTTTCTCATTTTCACATTTTTCAGCAGAAATCTGTTGTGAAAATTATCTCTTCTTCAAGGAGCTGATCTCCGAATAACTCCTGCTGTGCAATTCTCAAAATAACAACCGTCAATCTGGTTATGTCTTGGTGGAAGCGTTGAATTCGGACACATTTTATCAAAACGGCAACCCGTGCTTTCAGCAGAATAGGTTTAAAGCTTTAACATAAAGAAATATCAGAATACCAAACGATGACCAATAAAAGTGGATTGAAACAAGGGATGAAATATTTGCGAGTGATATCCCATGATTCTGCAAAATTCGGATCGTTGTAGGCACTGCTCCTGGGAATTTGTAGGCATAGCGAAGAAGATTATTTGGTTTCATTGTGCGCCAGACGTGGTTTGACTCGCTTTCTCCCGATCAGATACGTCACCCATTTTTGCCACAGTTAGCAGTTGAGGCGAAAATGGATAAGACCTCCAAAGGTGTCTTCAGTCACAGATTGGGTACTTTTAGAAAAACCGTTAGTATACACCTCTTTACACGATCGCCTACGTGGATTTGGATCCTGTCGCGAACCCGACCATAACTATCCGGAAGTTAGGGTCTCGATACGGTTGTCTTTATCTACCAATGAGACTGGATAGGCTGGAGATGCGACGTGCTGAAGCTCGACTGGAGCGGCAAAAGTGCGGCTTCAAGACCTAAAGAGTTCCATTGGTTTTATGTAACAGAAACTAGCGTGGTTACTGTCAACCAAGGAGGCAAAGGCATTGAAAACTGCTTATGCAAAGGAAATTGCGTAGTGTGAAAACAAAAGAACTTAGCAGCTTCACAGTCGCTACAAGATTAGGGGTTTTAGAACAGGCGAAAAGTGTTTGAGCTTTGTAATTGCAAAAGCAAGAAATTTACTAGGTTAGCAGGAGGGTACCACATTGCTAGGTAACATCCACCAAAATGGCTTTGAAACATTTCAAGTCACCAACCTTTGTCATTTGCATAGTCAATCATGCGAAGCATACATGCATTAATTCATTCACATCGCTCTCCAGGCCTTTCTATGTATTTGTTTAATAAAAGTACTGAATCTAAGCTATCTCGTAGCACACTTTAGAAGCAAATTTTCAATGCCACCAGAAATTTACAATGCTACAAAGGCCATTTCCCACAA